AAGTCTCAGTCTGGAGAAGCAATAATAGAAGCACTGGGACAACAGAAAATATAAACCCCTGCCATTGTAATGGTTCTTAGGTTGGGGGATAAACACAGTATTGAGCCTTAACAGAGGAGAGTAATATAACACAGTTTTTAAGAGGCTCTGTATAAGTGGTAGAGGATGAAAGTGATGGTTGACGTCTAAATACTACTACGTATCTCACAACTTGTTGAAAAGCACTTTTTTCATTGGGGGAGATTCACAGCTGCTGAATTTTCCGCAGTTAATAGAGTCCTTTGATTCACAGCAGTGCCCCTTGCACAAAAAATACTGGCCTTTGTGTATTACCAGAAACTAATTTTCTATTTGGCTGAAAAGGGAAAAATGGGGTTATTGCTTCTCCCTCCTACAGAGCTTTTCATTATGCCTGATGCACTCAACTTCTAAGCTCTTCTGAGAAAAAAAATAGCTGAAGAGGCAAGAGGTAGAAAAATGAGCTTGTTAGCACATTAGAAGTGAAGTATCTTGGTGGGCCCTAGAAATTCCCAGTGGTGTGTTAACTTATCACTCTATGCATGCTGGCACTGATAGTCTCCCAATTGATCACTCTCTTTTCGCACCAAAGGTGCTGCCAGGAAGCAAAGGCTGAAGGCCCACAGGAGAACAGGCTGCTATCAAAACAAGATGTTTTTAAAAGTCTGCTTGAATGGGTAAAATGTTTCATAAAAAAGTAGGGTGGAGACACCTACCTGCTTTTAAAATGCTCTACTTCCAGAGGTTTCTAAAGGAAACCTTTTAGTTTATCCCATTATATTCAAAGCTTATACACAAATAAGGCAAAAATGAAGGAAAGTTACTGCTTTGAATGTGACAAGGACATTCTTATTCTCCAATCCAGGTACCTATCTCCTAACCAAATAAAGAAGTCTCAACACAGATGCTGACCGAGAAGGATAATGATGTTTCCATTACACAGTGGAGAGGATATGCTTGTATCAGTTCTAGAAGTCTAATTCAAACACACACTTAGTACACTCAGAAAAAAGTAATTCAGCTAGCCAGGTTGCTGCTTGTCCTAACAATCCACAAAACCATCTGCAGCTTGTTAAAAACAAAACAAAAATCTGATGCAAACACCAAGGCTAAAGCTTGCTGTATTCTGCACTAAGAAATGACACACTCTCCTCAGAAGAACTTCTTTTCTGTATTAGAGACTGAGCAGCTGAGATTAGGATACTGTTACCGTCTGTTCACTTACACTTTGAGAATGTTCTAGTATTTTAAAATCCAAATTTGCATGCTTTTGTGGCCAAGATAATCTAGTTCTACGCTGTATTTGAATGCAACTATCTGCAAGAGTGACCAGAAACCCATGGTAGTTAATTTCTACATTACTTCTAATAGGCTAGACATTTATTTCTTTAAAACGCTGCTCTCTAGGGAAGAGTTATTAGCACCTACAAATTGAGTGGCACATACAAACTCAATGGCTAGTAATAACAGGGCAACACAAGCTGTATTCTTACTGTGAGTGGATGTTGCCACTGGCATCAGCAATTAAGATGAAATGGGAAGGATGCATGGACAAACCAATGGAGAAAGACTCTGGCACAGAGAGTGACTAAACACTTAAACAACAGAGTTGTGAGCTTTCTGTTTCTGAAGAAGGTGCTAACTGGAACAAGAGAGAATGGATAAAAAGGTAAGATACACATTAATTATACAGGCACTCACCCAAATTTGACAGCTAAAAACTTGCAGATATATAATCTACAAAAACTGTAACAAAAAAAAAATCTAATGACTTCATGATACTTTTTCAGAAGATACTGTTCTGAAAAATACAATCAGTACAAGAAAAAAAATCAGGAATCATACCTTTACAGGTCACTCAGGGTGTAGTCACTTCAGCTAAAATTTCATTTGCATTACAATCCATTTTACTTATTCTCTACATCTGCATTTCTATTAATACTGAAAATACTGTACTTTCCATTATTACTGTATACATTCAATTTTTTTAGACCTGTTGATTTGCACTTGGGAACAAGCACTGAAATCCTGGCTGTCAGATCACCTTATGCTTAATCTGTCTGAAAAACATCATCTCATGTCTTCACCTAATAGCTCTCCATCACTGTTGATTCTATCACTTTCTTTTTCAACTCAAGCTCTGTTTAGACTCCTATGGCAGAATACATCTGCATCTTGCAGATTCTTTTGCATAATCGTAGGTAGAACTTTTTCTAGCCACCTACATGATCAAATTATCTAGGCTCTTACTTCACATCTCAGTTACTGCCATATCCTTTTCTCTGGCCTCAACAAGTGAATCTTTATTTCTCCTTGTATCTAGTCAGAGCACGCAAAGCTCACTTTCTGAACACACTGCTTAAATGAGGCATTCTCTTCAGATGTCACCATCAGTATGCCACTCCCTAGCACCAATGCAGGCTACTTATTTTAACTTCATAGCCCACACCTATTTGATCAATTTTATCAAAACTACTCTTTCCTCCAGTAAGTTAATGCAGACAGTCAGTCACTCACCTTGACATATTTGGACAGGCACTTTTGTATTTTTTTCCCATGTAGCTTCTTATGCCCAGCACCAGGTCTCCAGAAGTGTCCACAAAACAATCCCCCCGTAAACTCTGCCCTTTGCTATGATGTTTACTGAAAAAGAAACAAGGAAAACACCTTGGAAGACTTAAGTCGGTTGCTGTATAGGTCACACAACTAGTCACGCTGTCTACTATTGTTTCACATTTCCCTGAACTTTGTATCCGCCTCCATTTGTTGCCTTCAGTTTTACACTTGGCTTTTTTACTTCTGAGGGACAAACAACATCTGTCTTGTGCTGTGCTCTATGTCAGTATAATGACACTGGGGTCTATGCTATGGATATATATGTGTCATAGTAATACAAGCAAAACAGCTCTCCTCCTTGCATCTTCACCCATCATCTTAATCTTTTTCCTTTATATCCAAAAGAATTGCCTCACATTGCCAATTTTTTTTATCCATGGCTTTGTCATCCTTCCATTTGGTGAGGAAATCTGTTTGCTACATTTCCCCACATCTCTAGTTGTTTAGTCTTTATTTTTCCTTTCCTGTAATTTTAACCATGCAATCTCCACAAAATCCCATACTTCCCATTGTTCAGCCTCTTCTACTGTGTCCATCTTTCAAGTCCTTCTGTTGAATTCATCTCCTTATAGTCATTTCCATAGATTTATTGTGTCATTCTGACTACATGTTCTCTTTCCATTCT